AGCCAGCATCTGTCAGAGCCAGTTGAAGACCTTCTTATCTCAACAGACCATTGAACCTGTGAATCATTTTTCTCCCAGTTTTTATTCCAGGCTGTTTGTTGTCCCCAAGAAAACCAGAAACTGGCAGCCTGTCATAAATTTGTCCTGCCTGAATCAATTTCTCAATCTCCCTTGTTTTACCATTGAATTGTTTCTCACCCTCAGGTTGGCTTTATCTACAGGTTTATGCTTGCTTACATATACCAATAGCTCAGTATTTGTGACCATATTTTCAGTTTGTCCATCAAGGAGTGACTTATTAGTTTCATGTACCTCTCTTTGGGCTTGCTTTGGCCTCGTATGTTTTTTGTCTGTTGCTTTAAGCTTTTGCTCATCACCTCCATACTCCTGAGATGCATTTTCATTATTATACGGACAACTGGCTACTGTTAGCTCATTCTGAACAGAGTCTGCCTGTCATACTCTTCAGCTTCTCTGAGAGGTGGCTTGAGTGGGCTGGTTAATCAAATTGGAGAAGTCTTTCTTTCATTCTACCCAATATCTGATCCATTTGGGTGTTGTTTTTTTTCAACACCCATGTCAGTTGGGCCCAACCTTCTCCTTCAGTTCACCAAGCTCTTACTGCTCCCTCTCTTACAGCTCATGAGGTTCTATTGCCTTTGGGGATGTCATCTTCCATGGCTGCACTTATCCCCTTAGGTCATGCTCATATGCAAGCTCTTCATGACCAGTGGAATCTTGCACGGGAACCTCTGCGGGCTGTTATTACCCTTTTATCTTACCATAGTTGATAATCTGCAGGATCCATGGGTTGGCGTGAGTCCCGCTTCCTCCTCCTCATCCATATTTACATATTTTAAAGGACGCTTCCCTCCAGGGATGGGGGGGGCATGGGTCAATCAATGGGGAGGCAGCATGGATTTTGGATGTAATTGACATTTGCGAGGACAGTCTGTCATGCCCTAGCCACTCTACATCTGGGGGCACTTCCATTGTTTTTCTCCTCACCAGTTGAATGTGCTCCTCTGTTTTCTGTCCATATATATGACACTTTTCATAAAAGGGTGAAGAGTATACCTGGTTCAGAAGTTGTGCAATCTCCCACATTAGATCATCTAATCTGGCTCTCTAGTCTCAAGGTGTGTCCTTTGGATGCTTCTTTTCTTCTCTTGCCCCAGTCCCTCCACCTATTCTAGCTAATTATGTGATGTGATGTACCATATCAGAAGTTATAATTTCCCCATACTGAAAATGTGTTTCCGATAGGTGCCTACCTCCTCTCACACTTCCCACCCTTCCTCCCCACTGAAACCCAGTGCTTTACTTTCTGCAAAAACTTGAAGTGATAATATGGTAGAATTGAATAGAGGGAGTCACATATGTAGCAAGAGTGTGTGGTACTCTCATTGGTGGATGGTTGTTGCATAATTATTTGCATGAAAGACACATTTCCATTGGAGGGGAGGCAAAAGGCTTGTGGCATAAATAACAAAAATTTTGGATATAGAGGACAGCACTAAATGAGAATAGCTAATTATGTGAGAGAAAGTAAGTATCTATCTAAAATACATTTTCAGTGTAGGAAATTTGTAACTTCTTTGCATTTCACTAACTTTCTCTTAGTCCTCATAGAACCTAATGGTTACATTGTTTCTTCTTCACAAGTACACATCCTGTAAAACAGGTAACTAACTAAAACCAACTAACAATATGTTGTAAGGTTTCTCATCAATTAACCGATTTACTTATGAGCTGGATTTATTTTAAATAATGCATTCCTTACCTGATTTGGTATTGATGGAGAGCTTTTGTCTTCAGGATATTGTTTCCTTGGTTTATTATCAATAGATTATTCAACATAATCTCTGGTGTGATGCCCATGTTTTCAATACTCATAACAGTTTTTCTTTGTCTTGATTTGCAAGCTGCTTTAATTTTCTAAAGGATTTAATCTCAAGTTACTGGCAGTATGACCATATAACTGCACTTAATTGCAACACCTTTTTTTCTTTGGTTTATTTGATTTATTCTATGTAAACAGTTGTATTATTAATCTTATGAGTTCTTCCAGGCTTCTGTAAGAGGGGGTGTACGTTTCCATTAACTGTTTGCTGTGGTAGCCCCATAAATCCTGAGTTGTTCTTTTAGTTATTTATTTGCAAGTGTTACAGATTAAATTTTAATTATGAACTAAATAGCTTCTTAGATGTACATGTACTTTGCTTCAACCTAATTAGCAAATCCTCATCCATTGCGCCATTCATGAATTGGTTATGTGCCAATAAACCCATCATTTCATGTAGAACATCTGGATAAGTGGTCAAGTCTTTTCTCATCTTCAGCAAGTTTGGCTAAGATATAGCCCTTCTTCCTTACCCTGTTCCTTCTAAATGTTATTAAGAAGGTGATCACTAATGTCTGGTATTTGTTATGATTGTTTGTTGGGAGATTATTTAATGTTGTTCAAGTTAGTCTTTGTTAAACAAGCATGATGGATAACTTGTTTAGTGCTCTGTCATTTAATCTTGGAAATTATTTCAAATTCTGCCTGATATAACCCATCATGGTAGCTTTACATTGTAATCTTTTGATTTCTATATTGGGCAGTGTTGTTTAACTGGCTTGCTAAACTCTGTAATTTTATGAGGTAGGTGTGTAAATGATGTAACAAATTTATTATTATGTATTTTTAATATGAATGCTGTTTAGATTGAATTTGTATTTAGAAATATGCGTGATTTATAGTATCAGATATGTGTTGCATATAACAAATTTGTTATATATTTATTTTAATGTCAACGTTTGTTTTGATTAAGTTTATATTTGAGGGCGTGTCTAGCTTACCATGTAAGTTACGTATGGCGAAACTCCCGCCAACTCTCCAAGATTGTAGAATATTCGTGAACACAGGAATCAACAATATATTCACTTCTGTAATTCGTTAAATACAGTTCCGAAGTTTGAGAAAATGTATCCCGCCTATAAAAACAGCAGGGCAACATGCCAAAAAACAACAAAGAAGAATTAAGTCTGCTAGAAAACTGTTATAACTGTGTGTACCCTATAAGCCGTGATTTTGCTAACCCTTACTAACCAGAAAATATACATATGACCATGAACAGCTATAAATTTTGAACATCAGTGAATTCTCATCAAACGTTAGTATCTTTCCAAAAATATTGCTGGTTTCTCATCGGACATT